GAAGTCAAGGGTATGAGGGTGAATGTTGAGGCGGGAGGAGCAGCAGGGAGGCAGATCCCAGACTTCATGGCTTCATGGGTCATTGCTTAGCCTTTGACTTTTGCTCTGAATGGGTGGGATGCAGGAACAGCATGGTCCAGCACCTCACTCTTGTCTTCTGTCAGTGTAGCGAGACCAGACTGAAGTAGGCAAGGCCAGAGCAAGGAGGCCAGTGAGGAGATGATGGTAGGAGATGGTGGCCGCTTTGGTCTGAGTGGCAGTGGTTTAAGTGGTGAGAAGTGGTCAGATTCTGGAGATACTGTCTTTTCTTTTTTTAATGTCTTTTTATGGAAATATTTACTTATTTATTTGCTTTAAATATATTTTTTTATTGATTTCAGAAAGGAAGGGAGAGGGAGAGAGACAGAAACATGATGAGAGAGAATCATTGATTGGCTGCCTCCTGCATGCTCCCTACTGGGGGGGATCGAGCCCCCAACCAGGGCATGTGCCCTTGGCGGGAATTGAACCTGGGACCCCTTAGGCTGAAGGCCAATGCTCTATCCACTGAGGCAAACCAGCTAGGGCTCGTATTTATTTTTTTAATCCTCACCCAAGGATATGTGTGTGTTTTAAATTGATTTTTAGAGAGAGAGGCAGGGAGAGAAACATTGATGTGAGAGACATTGATCGATTACCTTCCACATGTAGCTGGACCTCGGATCGAACACCCAACCTAGGTATGTGCCCTCACTTGGAATCAAACCCACAACCTTTTGGTGTATGGGACGACACTCCAACCAACAGAACCACCCGGCCAGGGTTGGAGATATTTTCAATATAGAACCAATAGGATTTGGGAATGGATTGAATGAGGGGTGGGAGGAGGCGTGAGGAAAAGGAGTAAAAAATGACGGATGAGGACATGGAAGGTTACATGTTAGGGGAAGATCATGGGTTCATTTGGAGGTGGTCATGTTTGTGATGTTCGCTAGACTTTCAAGTAGAGACAAGGCCAGGCCTTTGCAGTCAGAAAAGATGGGGGAGAGAAGGAAGCAGGAAGGAGCAAGACCAGAGGCCTGGAGGAGGGAGTGGTAGCCCTGCTGACGGGTCAGGTAAGAGGAAGAATGAGCACAGACCTTGAGATTTGAGGGATGGTCCCCTCCCCCACTGTGGCCTCAGCCTGGGCTAGTCTGACAAAAGAGAGGTGTAACCACTTCCCCAAGGCCATGGCCGACCTAGTTCTTAGTTTGCTCTGACTGGCTGTGTTACACTCAGTCTCCTACAACGCTGGGTTTGTGAGATCGGTCCACACGGACACACACACAGCTCTAGATCAAGAGTCAGCAAACTAAGGCCAAATATGTTTTAGGAGATAACTTTACTGGGCTACAGCCATGCCCATTCCAGTGGTGTAAGGCTGCTTCCACACCCTAGCAGAACAATGGTTGCCAGGGACCATATGGCCTGTAAAGCCAAAAATATTTACTATCTGGCCTTTTAAAGGGAAAGTTTGCTAACTCCTCCTTTCCCCCTTTCACTGTAACAGTGTGTAGCTCTATTATAGGAATACACAAGACATTTAATTGAACATTTAGGTGGGTCCCTTTTTTTGGCCATTATGAAAATGCTCCAATAAACATGCCTAACTATTTTCTTGGACTCATGTGCACCAGAAGTGAAATTCCTGGTTTATACGATATGGGCATCTTCAGCTTTACTAGATCTTGCCAAATTGCTTTCCAATGTGGCTGAAATGATTTGCACTCCCATAGCAGTGTAAGAAGTTCCCATATTCCTCTCAAACTTGGAATCGTGTTGTCAGACATTTTTAGTTAGCAGTTCTTCCGTTTGTAGATTCCTTTGGTTATTCGGGCTGTGGGTGACGGTTTTGCTCTTATCTTTTCCTGGCCTTGGTGCTCTGGCAGGGACTGCATTTTGTTCAGTGAAAACAATTTTAAAGTTTGTCCCTGGCTTTCAAGAAAACAATGCTTAACATTTTATCATATACTATAGTGTTTCACCATTAAGTATAATGTTTGCTGCAGGTTAGGTTTTAACTTTTATTTTGGGAGAGCTCACACAGAAAACCATTTGGACTAGTTGGTTTTTTAGGTATGGGTCTATTCTACTTCTTTTTGCATTAGTCTTGCAAATGATCTTTTCCTACAAAATTGTCCATTTCATCTGTGTTTTAAATTTACTGGCATAGAGTGTATAATCTTATTGTTGTCATTTTTGATAGATCGTAGTTATGTAACTTTTGAAATTAGTGTTTATTGTTTTTTTTCCAAAGACCTAGCTTTGTGGTCCATACTAGTGTTTTTGTTCTGTATTTAATCAATTTCTGCTCTTCATTATTATCTTCCTTCACTTTTTCTTTTTTACACTGTTATTCATTTTTTAATTTAAAAAATTTAATCCTCATCTGGACATGTTTTTTCTTATTGATGAGAGAGAGACAGAGAGAGAGAGAAGAGCAACATTGATCAGTTGCTTCCCATATATGCCCCAACCAGAGACGGACCCCTCAACTTAGGTATGTGCCCTGACTGGGACTCAAACCCACCACCTTTTTGGTATACAGGACGATGCTCCAACCGAGCTAGGGCTGTTAACCCTTTTAAACATTATTTGACACTGCTCATTTTCCATATTTCTTCTTACCTAGTAAGGTTATAAATTTCCTAATTGCAGCTTACTATGCTCCACCACCCGAGTTTTTATATGTATTATCATTTTTTTTTGGATCCAGTTTTAGTTTCTATATGATTTTATCTTTAAGTAATAAGTTTTTTAGAAGAATGTTTAAATGTCCAAACATTTGGAGTTTATTTCGCTCATGTCTATCATCAGGGGATATGGTCTGTATGAAATGGATTCATTGATATGTCGAGATGTGTCTTGGGGTCCAGTAGTTAGGTAACTTTTTTGTAAAGGTTTCTTGTGTGCTTGAAAGTAACATACTGGACTGGGTTCATGGTTCTGTCAGAGTCCATTGATCAGGATTATTAACAGCATTAAAATCTATTTTGGGGGGCTGTTTCGTCTATCAGTTACTGAAAGAGGTCTTACATCTCCTATCATGCCACAGGATTTGACACTTTCCCTTTGCATCCTGTCACTCTTGCTTTATACATTTTCAACCCTTTTTAAAACCTCTAACATACAAGTTTAAAATTGTTACATCTTGAAAAGTCTTTTCGTCATTTTGTGGTGACCCTTTTAAAAAAATTTTATTGATTTCAGAGGAAGGAAGAGGGAGAGAGAGAAATATTGATGAGAGAAAATCCTGTATGTCCCTCCTGCATGCCCCACACTGGGGATCGAGCCCACAACCCGGGCATGTGCCCTGACTGGGAATCAAACCCTGACCTCTGGTTCATAGGGTGACGCTCAACCACTGAGCTAAGCCAGCTGGACTGGTGACTCTCCTTTATCCCTAATAATGCCTTTTGCCTTAAAGCCTATTTTGTCTGATTTTCCTATAGATATCTTGTGGTTAATTTTTCTCAAGTATACCCCCCCCTTTTTTTTTAACTTTTGGTGCCCTTAGGTCTTAAATGTCCTCTGGTAAATGGCATAGAGCTGCATTTTATTTTGCTTGATCATCTCTGTTTTAATAGATGAATGTAAAACATTTCCTACCTCTGGTTTGGCACCCTTTACATACCAGTCTTTTTACTTTTCTTCCTTTTTTTCTTTCCTGCCTGCCATTATACTTTAATACCCTTTACCAACTTTTTCTCTTTTCTGTACTAGAAGTCATACTTTTAGTGATTCCTCTTAAGTGTCTGAAATACGTGCTTAACTGTAGAAAGCTGGACAATTGTCATTCTCCTCCTCTTCCTCCTCTCAAATAAACCAAGCTGCTAAGAACACCTGAGCTCCGATTACCCGCGCCAGTCTTACCTGTTATTGTGTCTCATGCTCCTTGTTTGCGCTCCACAAATTAATCATCACTGTTCATGTTCTAATTAAGTACTTGTTTAGATGACTTACATGTTTACCAGTTTAGCTGCTCACCATTTTCCCAACTGATGTCTTGTCTTTCAAGTTCTGCAAATTCACTACAAAATGCATAGGTGCTGATTTTAGTTTTATTCATCCTGCTCTGGATTTTATGTGAGGATCCTGGTCTTAACCTTGAAAACAAACTCTTCTTAAGAGAGATATTCTTTCTTTTCTCTTCTGGAATTCTGATTGGACATGAGAGTTCTCACTTTACCTTTCCACTCACTCCCTTTTACATGTTTCATCCCCTTGTTTCTTTAGTTGTTTCTGATTATTCTCCAGTTCAGAGATTCTCTTCCGCTGTGTGCAATCTGCTTGCTTGCCTTATTGAGACTTGAATGTCCAAAGCTCTATTTTTCAATTCTAGGGATTTCTTTGAAAAGCTCTGTTCCTTTTTAGTGACTTGTTCTTTTATGTTTTGATCTCGCCCACCCACCTTTTCCCTTCTCCAACCATAAGCCCCAAGGACGACGTTTGGCTCTGTCATCCTCGGCACCTCACCGTCGCTGGCACTAACAGCCAGGCTGTGTGCTGTCAGGGGCAGTGACAGAGGGGAGAGAGGATGCGGAGCTGCAGCCGGGCAGTGATTTCCCCACTGCGAAGCGCTGGGTCCGCTCCCACCACAGCCTCCTAGCTTCCCAATCTCTGCTCAGCCCGGCCTGGGACAGAGGGGCCACGCAGGCCATGACGTCACGCGACTGTGACGCCCCTGGGAGCCGCCACCCCTTCCTGGTGCGGGCGGGGAATCCAGGCTCTTTGCGCCCTGACGTCAAGGTCCCGGCGGGCGGGTTTTGCGTCGGCCCAATGGGAGCAGTGCGCCGGCCTCCCCTTTAAGGAATGTTGTGACCTGACGTCACCCGAGCGAGTTACCTCCCGGAGCCTCCGACGCTGGGCTCAGCGTGAGCCCCAGAGCCCTTGCGCGCGAGGTGTGGAGCCCCCGCGCCCCGGTACCGCAGCCACCTCCCCGCCCCGGAGTCCCGGCCTGCGCGCCCCGCCGGGCCCGCGAGATGCCCTCGGACCGGCCTTTCAAGCAGCGGCGGAGCTTCGGTGAGGCCTGGTGGGCGATCTGCAAATCTGGGGAGCGGGTGGGGATTGGGGAGTTGGGGGCGCGACCCAACCTCCAGCGCAGGTGACGTCAGCCCTGTGACGTCAGCTTCCAGCCGGACCCCAGGCTGGGAGGCA